TCTGGTTTTTTGCCGACGTTTGAGCCGAAAATCATACTTTACAGCTCATATCTGGCCAATTCCGGCTGACCCTGTGGGGGACCAGACTCATGCCTCAGAACCGCAATGGTGGGATGATTAGGAGGTCTGACCGGGTGTCCGAGGCTATAGTTGTGTCCGTCGGGAAAACTCTGGTATTTTGCCGACTTGAGCCGAAAATCGTACTATACAGCTCATATCTGGCCAAATCCAGCTGGCCCCTGTGGGGACCAGACTCAATTCCGCAGAACCGCATATGGTTTGATGGTTAGGAGGTCTGACCTGGTGTGTCCGCGGGTATAGGTGTGTCCTTCGGGAATACTCTGGTATTTTTGCCCCGACGTTGACCGAAAATCGTACTATACACCTCATATCTGGCCAATTCCGGCTGGCCCCTGTGGGGACCAGACTCAATTCCCGCACAACGGGATATGGTGGAAGGTTAGTGGGTCTGACCGGTTTGTCCGCGGGTATAGGTGTGTCCGTCGAGAATACTCTGGTATTTTGCCGACGTTGAGCCTAAATCGTACTATACAGCTCATATCTGGCCCATTCGGCTGGCCCTGTGGGGGGACCAGACTCAATTACGCAGAACTGCATATGGTGGGATGGTTAGGGGGTCTGACCTGGTGTCCGCGGGTATAGGTGTGTCCGTCGAGAATACTCTGGTATTTTGCCGACGTTGAGCCGAAAATCGTATTATACAGCTCAAAATATCTGGCCAATTCCGGCCGGCCCCTGCGGGACCAGACTCAATTCCGCAGAACTGCATATGGTGGGATGGTTAGGGGGTCTGACCCCAGGGTGTCCCTCGGATATAGGTGGTGCCGCGCGGGAATATTCTGGTATTTTGCCGACGTTGAGCCGAAATCGTACTATACAGCTTCATATCTGGCCAAATCCAGCTGGCCCTGTGGGGACCAGACTCAATTACGCAGAAACCGCATATGGTGGGATCGTTAGGGGGTCTGACCGGGTGTCCGCGGGTATAGGTGTGTCCGTGCGGGAATACTCTGGTATTTTGCCGACGTTTAGCCGAAAATCGTACTATACAGCTCATATCTGGCCAATTCCGGCTTGCACCTGTGGGACCAGACTCAATTCCGCAGAACTGCTATGGTGGATGGTTTTAGGGGGTCTGACCGGTGTCCGGGGTTAAGGTGTGGTCCGTCGGAATACTCTGGTATTTTGCCGACATTGAGCCGAAAATCGTACTACACAGCTCATATCTGGCCAATTTCGGCTGGCCCCTGTGGGGACCAGACTCAATTCCGCAGAACCGGATATGGTGGGATGGTTAGGGGGTCTGACCGGGTGTCCGCGGGTATAGGTGTGTCCGTCGGGAATACTCCGGTATTTGCTGACGTTGAGCCGAAAATCGTACTATACAGCTCATATCTGGCCAAATCCAGCTGGCCCCTGTGGGGACCAGACTCAATTCCGCAGAACCGCATATGATGGGATGGTTAGGGGAAAACTTGAAAATTTGTATGGTCAATGTATATGTAACTTTATGTATTTTTCCTTCCACTGAAGCGCTGAAATAAATGTTTTAAAGCGACATTTATTTCTCCTCTCAGCGAAAAAAGCAGGCAAGTATTTTACATTGAGCAGGTTTGTGGGTTTTGAAGATCATGACTTTAGCAATAACGTAGATACCTTACATGAATGCTCTAATCGACGTATTACACTCAGGACAATCGTAAAGTCGCTCGAAACATGAATGACACAGAAAATGTTTGTAAGGCCGACAACTCACCAAACGTACAATATCACGTGGCTGGTGACAACCGTCGCACAATCCAAACTTTCCATTACCAATTGTCCGCACTTATGAGAAAGAAGATATGACAGAAAAATAAGTCGAATATTCTTTACAAATCATCATTATTTTATCATATTTAACGATAATTTCAGATATTACAAATGCAAACCGAGCCAAATTAAATAATTTTGCAATATGAGACTTACTTTTTATTTCATTTTTTATGTACTTCATGCAGTAATTTTCATGTTAATTTTGTTTTAACACCGTAATAGATTCATTCTAAATATTCTTCTGCAAATTGTTAATGTTTACTAAGATCTTAACGTTGCAAAAACTCAAATTCTATGGTTCTGATATTCCTAATAGGTATTTACTAGTATACGTACCTTCATGTCGAATTTTAGCCAACCTAATTCCTAACAGACAGTCCAACAAAACATAGCATTTCATAGTTATATGACTGTTTGCAACTCTTATCAGTCGCTGAAAAATGAACGAGTTTGTTTTACTTGTGTTCGGAATGAAGTTTATAATTTTTGTATGAAATTAGAACCTTGTTTGTTTTTTTAACGAAATATCAATTTTATTATTTATCACAAAATTAAAAAATTTAATAGCAATTTTTCTATATAATTTTGCATTTCTATTATAAATTCATTTGAATAGGGAAAAAAGAATACAATGTTATAATTATAAAGTATTTCAAAGTGACATTATTCTCAAAGTCATAATAAATTTACATTTTACCTTAATTCCATTTTTGTTTAAATATTTAATTCACATGAACGATAAAAAAACTCACGTGATCCAAGAAAATTCCTATAAATATCAATCGGAAGTTACTTGTAACTTTAAGTTTATAAAAAAAAGTGAAACAGTCTTTTTCATGTAAAGCTGTATTTAATAAATTTGAGAAAAACAAGAATAGCGACATTTCATTAATAAATTTGGTTTCATATCGACTCCAGATCTTATTTTGGTGTCCAGACAATCAAAGTGAGTTTTATAAGCATAAATATCGGCAACCTCATTGTGCGAAATCGGAAATACAATTTCTGTTTGCATCAACAACTCCGCATTCGGATCACCAGTATAAAAAAATACATCAATATTAAATCAACAAACATGGCTATAAAATGCAGTCCTACTTATATTTCCGCATTGTAACGGATGATCGTTTTATGATAACTTTTTTTCTGACAGCGTGAAGATAAAACGGTTAAGGTGTGTTTGCACAAGAAAACCTCATATCTCTGTGACGTAGCGCATACACGAGCTGATTATAGTCTTCATTTGCATGTTAAAATTCGTTTACGAACTTGGTTTTCCATTTAAAATCGTAATCTATGAACTGTAGAATGCTTGATTTTCGGACCGACGGCAAAATAATTTTACTTTTGACAATGAAAAAATAAGCAGTATTATCATGTCACTTAATATATATTTACGATTTGACAAATTTAATTATCATAAATAATTTCTTTTTATCTAGAAGTAAGTTTTTTTAACCTACTTTTCAATGTCGTAACTGATAACCGAAAGTGATCAACATTGAAAATTATATCATGTATAATATATCGATGGTCTCAATATAAAATGCCGGACCTACATTATTTTCGATTTTGCCGTTTAGTGATTTCCGAAAGTTTCGAATGTTACCGCTGCTTTTCACCGACTCCCACTGGTCAGCCAACCATTATTATATTGATCATATTTTAAGCGTTTTATTATAAGGTACTTTCGATAAAATGGTCTGATAAAAGTGAAGAAAAGCCATCATATTGATATAATTATATTCTAAATACATACCTTTTGTATTGACTGGGTGTTCTTTTCCGGTAACTTTAGCAGTAGATGGCTTCATATCCCAAAAGTACGTATAATAAATTGCCATAAAATGACCTCTGTTTTCCGTCAAGAACTTTTGATGCTGCTCTTTGTCCATCCTTTTCACTTTGTCATAACTGACTTGAATTATCTGTAATATGCAAGCATGTTGATAACATATTTTAGAAAACAGTTTAAATAAAAAGGGAAATTCAAAATATGCTAGCTGGAAATGCATTTTAAAATTTTTGAAGAATCCTTCCTTTGATGTATGATCATCACAGAATTTCAATACAGACAATAAAGTTTAAAAAAAAAAACATTAAAACTTTAAATACCTTTTAATATATGTATAGAATTCAACGCTTTAATTCGAATTTTAATCTGCAATATATATTATTGTAAAAACATATACAAATTTTTGTCTTATTTTATAGTGTAAAAACTCAAATTAATGCATACTAATTGATGCATATGAACGACTATAGTGAAGAATGGAACATTTTGGCTTCCGTAGATTCCATAATTATTCAGTCGTACACATGTCATAATACAGGATGTCACGTGGTCGAAGTCAAAGACGAATAACGGACACCTGCACCGTGTTCCCGTGTGCAACCGACAAAATTGAAATATTAAGTTTAACCGTGAACTCATTTTTTACTCATCGTTCATCCCTTCACTTACCTTATTTAGGTAACCACTAAATCTCCGTGGTGTATCATCGCAAACTAAATGTCCCTTTCCAGCAGGGAAACAAATTTTATTATTAAACACAGGTGAAGGTAAGTCCGGCATAGACCAAACAAGTGCCAATACAATGGCTAAATCTATCAAAACAAAACACAAAATGCAAAGGGTAATTATTTTAAATCGTGACCACATATCGATATATTGTCAAAGAAAAAACACCAAATATGGAATGCTGCCTATTATAAAATGCCCCTTTGCATTTTATTGCAAATGAGACAATTTACCGGTTTATCAGTCAGTTTATATAAGGTAGTATGACCTAGAAGGGGCATCTATTATCTTATTTTGTAAAGTTTGTACATATGTTACAATGACATTAAGGAGGTTGTTTGACCAATAAGGGGCACTTATTATCTTATTTGTAAACTTTGTACATATGTTACAGTTACATTATTAAAATGATAACAAAAAGTGCCATGCGTAGAAATGATTACTAAATTATAAAAAAGTTTGTATAGAAATGATAATCATCTATCTTTATATCTCGTATTTACACACATCAAAATATAGCTCGTATACCGGCTAAGTATATCGTTATTATGAGATGTATCTAGTTTTCTTTTATTTTCTCGTTTACTTCGAATTAAAGCCAGTTAATACTTTCATATCTGAAGATGCATGATCAGAGTGTCACGGGATGAGAAAAATATGCAACCTGACCGGGACTCGAACTTTGGGACCTTGTACGTTTCGTAGCTCTACCGACTTAGCTATCCGGCCGCTTACACATTTTCTCCCATATATAGTGAACAGTCCTGAACCGTGATTAAAGGTGCTCCACTGAGCTTTGGTCGAATGTCACAAAAAAGTACATTTTCACGCACAGATAATTTTTTGTTACCTGCGTGTTAGGGACATTTAAGCAGAATCTGTGATACATTGATGTGTCCTTTGACTTGGCAATTCGTTTGAAATATATATTTCCTCCAATTTCGTGGCAAAAGCGTTTAAACGCCTTTCAGTTTGCAAATCTGAGTGTCCGGTCTATTAACAACGGTCACGTGATGACTCTCGGGATGATTAAAAACGAAACGGATCTAATGATTTGTGTATCGGCAGCAACGGAGTGCGAAAGTGGAATATACCAACATTGCATCAATTTAAGAGCAAATCATGGGTTTGTTTGTTAAATTTCTTGTTGTGCACATATGTTCTTGTGAGAGAAATCATTCAAAAGCAATTTCAATACATTTAAAGCATTATATTGTTGTAATCCCCGCTATGTTAAAAATCGTCCCCGAAATCATCAGGGCTACAGAGCAATGTGAATTAAACTCTGAGCTATGTCGGACCGTATATATTGCACACATGTAGGACATATTCGGTCGAATCAATCACAATCACTGTATGCGCCATATACGTTTCTGCAATTATGTAGTAAATGCCTGACCTTAAATGTCACACACTTTTCACTGTAAACTAACGTTATCATCGTCGTCTTAACCTACTTTCGTCAACGTTAATAATACATCATCATCATCACCATGAACAACAACAACAACAACAACATAATAATCATCAATAATACATCATAATCTTAAATCAGCAATACATATATTTTAGTCAACGCCGACTCGCTTATCATTTTACCAGTAAGATGACTACTAGCAATACACAGTGACTGGCTTTGTCGAAAATATGTGCTAAGTATTTTGGACATGAAGATAAAATATCGACTGTTTATGCTCACACTCTTAGAAATGGGGTTTAAACTATTTATTTGTCCGTGCGCCTGTGCCTGAGTACGTGCGTCTGTCTGTTACGGAATCTTTAGTGTTGCTCCATAAATAATTTAGTGAAGATCATGAAATTTTACATGAACGTTGGTCAGCATTATGTGAAGTTTGAACAATATCGGCCAAATAGACCTTAAGTTATGCTCCGGAAACTGTTTTCAGTTTTAAATTTATAGTGACCTTGACCTTTGACCTTGTGACCCCAAAATCAATAGGGGTTTTCTACCCAAAATGGACAATCATCCTATGAAGTTTGAATAGTGTGGGCCACATGGAATATAAGTTATGCTCCGGAAACTGTTTTTAGTTTTAAAGTTATAGTGACCTTGACCTTTGACCTTGTGACCTCAAAATCATATAGGGGGTCTTCTACCCAATATGGACAATCATTCCCAATGGAAATTTTGGGAATATTGTGGGCCAAATAGACCCCCCCATACAGTTAAATGCTCCGGAAACTGTTTCAGTTTTAAGATAATAAGTGAACCTTAACCTTTGACCCTTGTGAACCCCAAAATCAATAAGGTTTCTTCTAACCCAATATGGACAATCATATCCCATGAAGTTTGAAACACTGTGGGACAAATGGAAAACTTATGTTTATGTTCCCGGGAAAACTGTTTTATTCTGTTTTGAAGGAATAGTGACCTTGAACCCCTGTTGGACCCCGTTAAATCAATAAGGGGTCTTCTACCCAATATGGACAATCAAATTACATTGAAGTTTGAATATTGTGGGCCCCATTGAACTTAAGTTATGCTCTGGAAAAATATTTTCAGTTTTAAAAAATAATAATGACCTTGACCTTTGACCTTGTGACCCAAAATCAATTGGGGTCCTCTACCCCAATATGGACAATCAGAAAGCTGTGAGCCAAAAACGGAACTTTAAGTTATGGCTTCCCGGAAACTGCTTTTTCAGTTTTAATGGCGATAAGTGACCTTGAACCTTTGACCGTGTGACCCCCAAAAATCAATAGAGGGTCTTCTTACTATCACATATGGACAATTTAATCCAAATGGAACTTAACGTTAATGCTCCCGGAAACAAAATTGCTAAACGGACGGACGGACAGACGGACGGAGAGAACAGACAGAAAGGACCAGACGGGACGCCATGGGGGTATAACATAAAATAATGGCCCGAAATTCTTTCCCGGGCCCATATAAAAAGAAAACAACATAAACATGAAAAATTTTTGGTGGAAATGCCAACAGAAGACCGGAAAATCAATGTAACCTTCATACCGAAGACACTAAAAAAAACTGTTAAGACATACAAGTAAATTTAGGGTGAAATTGATATAAATCTAATTTAAAGGTCATATTGCCTAACCTTAGGGTGACTTATTTCATGTTTGAAAACTCTACCCTTAATGAAAGGAGAGATAGTTTAGGATTGTGATAATTTGGATTTTACTGTGTCATGGATAGATCCTTATATATCCTGTCTAATTCAAATTGTCAGATTAGTGCATTACAATAAGAATTTCACCAAAACATATCATTCTGTTAACAAAAGAGAACATGTTCATGTTTGTGGTTATATTGTTATTGTTATATTGTTATTCAAATAAAAGGTCAGAGTAGGGATCAATCAAAATTTGAGCTATTCTCAATAAAATAAAGCATTTGAGGTTGAAAAATATTAAAAATTTGATGTTGTCATTGTGTCATTTTTTATCGCTGAAGTAAAAGTTTAGGGTATTTTGCAAGTTTGCCAGAAATATTTTGAACAAGAAACTATAATATAATAGGATAGCATTTATTCCGGTAATGACACTGTATTTCTTCGGTAACCTAGATTTCAGATCTTATAATGTAACATTTTGGCTGCATATTAATAACAAATGTCTGTAAAATATATCAAAATCTGTAATTCTATATCTAGAGGCACTTTCTATCCCAGGAAAATTCAAGGAAGTTGGGTACCTTGCTAATTTTCAGTTAATTTCTTCAAAGTTAAATATTTGTAGAAAGCAAAGATAGTCAATTCTTCAAAGTCTTCATTCAAAGGATATATATCATATATAATATATGGGAGGTCGAATGCATACACAAATGTTGTACTAGCAATGTTTTTCTTCAAAACATTCAACTTTCCACTTTCTTAATATTTGGAAAATTTATTGCTTAGCAGTTCTATATTTATCCCCATATAGGATGTCACGTATGTTTCATTTTATTCAAATGCAAGTAAAGGTTGAGAAAACAATTTTATTTTTTGTAAAATAATTTATATCTATGGATATAATTTTAACATTATTATATATAGAATGAAATACGGCCAGTAAGCTCTTTGCAGAAACGAATTAGTTGTTGCTGAGAACTTCAATATCTTGTAATATATTTTTAACATTTCTGCTTGTACATCAACATATTATTAACACATCTTGTCTTTGTAAAAACACGTTTGTATCTTCTTACATCTAATAAAAGGTATCTGTTACTTACAGGCATGTACGGAGCCCCTAAGGTGACATTCTCGACACTTTTACCCCGGCATTTAATTCGTTTTTACGAAATATTACTTCGTAATTACGAAATATCAATTCGTTTTTACGAAATATTAATTCGTTTTTACGAAATATTATTTCGTAATTACGAAATATTAATTCGTAAAAACGAAATGTTATTTCGTAATTACGAAATATCAATTCGTTTTTACGAAATATTAATTCGTATTTACGAAATATTAATTCCTTTTTACGAAATGTTATTTCGTAATTACGAAATATTATTTCGTTATTACGAAATATTAATTCGTAAAAACGAAATGTTATTTCGTAATTACGAAATATTAATTCGTTTTTACGAAATCTTATTTAAGGTCATTTTGAGCTTGATAATGAACCTATTAATCTTACAAATGGGTCATTTACATGCCTTGATCAACTTTGCGATTATAAGCCGAATGGTTCTCAAGTTATTATATTTAAGTGAACAGGGTTTTTGAGTGAGAAGTCATTCTCTATCCAAAATGGTCTTTTTTCCCCATTGTCAAATACATGTTCCTATCAGCAATGTTTTAAAAATGTCTTTAAAACAGAAACATGCTATATTATTCCGTTCTTTTATCATATACATAAGTAAAACTTATGGGACGAGGAGGGGGTTGGTCCAGATTTCACTAATCTAATCAATTTAAAATGAATATTTCCTCACAATTTAGTATTAGAAATGTCCGTGTTTGGATTTGAAGCACAGGACCGCAATTTTTAAGTAAATTTTCCTAGCGCGTGTCTATCACGGCTGTGGCTCAACGCTATTGACATGGCGAATATTTTAATTTATGTTTACAATAGTGTTAAAGTTAAAAAACTTGGGGAGAACAAAAATCACTATTTTTTATATTGCATTGTACATGCCTTATATTTTAAGTCAGGAATTTAGTTTTGAGGCCTTATTTATAAATATTACCAAAAATCTCTTTGAAACGCTAGAAAAAATTTAATTCGTTTTTACGAAATATTATTTCGTATTTACGAATTATTATTTCGTAATTACAAAATAACGTTTCGTTTTGACGAATTAATATTTCGTAATTACGAAATAATATTTCGTAATTACGAAATAATATTTCGTAAAAACGAATTAATATTTCGTAATAACGAATTAATATTTCGTAATTACGAAATAATATTTCGTAATTACGAATTAATATTTCGTAATTACGAAATAATATTTCGTAATTACGAATTAATATTTCGTAAAAACGAATTAATATTTCGTAAAAACGAATTAATATTTCGTAAAAACGAATTAATATTTCGTAAAAACGAAATAATATTTCGTAAAAACGAATTAATATTTCGTAAAAACGAATTAATATTTCGTAAAAACGAATTAATATTTCGTATTTACGAATTAATATTTCGTAAAAACGAATTACTATTTCGTAATTACGAATTATTATTTCGTAAAAACGAATTAAATTCCGGGGGAAAAAGTGTGGAAAATGTCACCTTAGGGGCTCCGTAGGCATGCTAATCCCAATTTTATCTTTAATTTTCAAAAATTGTTGAATTGTAAGTTGGAGTAACGTATGTTTTACACTCCCTTATTTATGAACTTAATCACAGAATTGAAACTTACATGTAAAATCGACTTTTTTTATTTATTAATCATATGTACATCTATTGTCATAAAAATGCGATTTTATGCTTTTATATATGCATGTGTAAAAAATAAAAAGTATGTTTGATAAAAGTAACGTTTGTTTCACTGTGGTTACTTAAACAAGTTAAATCTCGACCAAAGTTAACAAAATTTACCTACTAATGTCAAATTGAAGTTAATGTTGCTGTTATACATGCTTTCTGTCTTCAATTTCCCTTTTGATAAACTTACTTTAAAAAGTTGATAACGTATGTTTCTGTAACGTATGTTTCATTTTTACATTGAAAGTGGGTTAAAAAATGATGCAAGACCGTTTAACCCGCCATAATTTGGGGTTATTATATCAGAGTTACACACATGTTAATTTTCTGTCTTGTTTGGATTCTTCTTTGAATGGATTGGCTCTTAAATAATGGTAACGTATGTTTCTTTTTAAAATGCTGTTTAAAATATTTTAATAAAAAATGAAAATTTCCGAAAATAGAATGATATTTGAGAGGCTGCAAGCTTGTTTTTACTTATAATTATATATATGCGGTATTATTAAGCATGCATCTAATCAATTATGTAATTTCGGATTCGTTTCTTATTGTTTTAGGTTTGTCACTATTTATTTATATGCATTTGGCGACATTTGATCATCCATTATATCAATGAGATTTTAACAGTCAAATATAATTTTTACCAATAATCAAAGTGCATGTACACAAAGCAATGATTAATTGCACATGTTTCGTTTACTCTAGAACTTATTTTTCTGAAACACAATTTCAAAGCTGAAAATTCTAGGTGGCGACAGTAACGTATGTTACATTTTAGGACGTTAATGGTACTTGTAAAAGAAAAATACAAGATAGAAATGTAAAACTGAGAGAGTCCCTATTAGACAAAGTGGCAGCCACCTTTTTAACGACATTTTGACCTAAAGAAAAGCCTTCGTAAAAGAGCTACCCAGTGGAACATCAAATGCTATGTTTTATTGAGAATGAGCGAAGTGTTTTATTGGGCTAAATTTATCGAGCAGATATTCTAAATATCATCGCTTGTTTTATTGTCCTGAAAATGTTTTGCCTGACCTTGACCCCTAGATCCTTCATAAGCTGGACCTCAAAGTCTACCACACTGTACGGCAATCGGTACTGGGGTATCTCGGAAGAACTGAAATAATTGCGCAGGTAAAGCAGGAAATCTTTTCAAGAATATAAAATATATTTAAACAATTATAAAAGACTCCACAATATGTTTGCAGTTGTTTTGCTAATGATAGTTACATAGAGAAAAGTTTTGATAGCGTCAAACCAATTTAAGACAGTGTAGGTAATATGGCGACTTTCCAGCTTTACTGGTGGAGAAAGATCTTAGGTGTCCACCTGTACATTATTTCAGGCATGAACGGGCGCCTCAGTAGAACCACCGACGTTCCGTAAACTAGCTGGTTAGTTTCTTGAATCCATACATGAAAGCCTCTCAAGTCCCTAGGGAGATTCAATTACACAGCGGTATAGAAGCGGCTATCAAACTGTATCATCAGTTTGCATAAGGAGGCAACATGTATAATGTACTATAATCATTTATTTTTAATATAAAGCATCATTAAACAAAGTCAGTTAAAATCAAATGTTGATCTGTTCAAATATAAATTACATTATATGCGGAAATGGGTACACGTTTATGAACCGATGATTAAAGCAAAGCAAATCACAGCAAAGCAAAGCAAAACTAGACATTGTGTATAAATGACTTCATTTTGTTTGTTTTTATTATCAAAAGATATACATGTAATCAAAAAGATGCACGGTGTCGAAAAAACTTGTTTGCAATTATTCATGCTTAAGGCCGTAAAAATGATTCTGCAGAAAGTGAAATTTCTATTTTCCAACCACGAGGTTGAAATTCTCTGTATGTGGTTCATTTATTCGTATGCTGATATATCTGTATTATAGTGAACTTTATTTCATGAATGTATGAATTCCATACCTCAAACCGCCAATGTATTTTCCTTCTCAAAAATGGTCAAGTTGCTGTACCCGAGCCGAGCCAGGAACGTGGCATAGCTTATACTAGCAGGACCACAACCTAATTAGTGCAACCTTGGCCTTATAGCTGTCTGGCATGTCAGATTCCGGTGGAAGGCTCGGGTCTCTGATTTGTTGGAATTCTCATCTCTTTGAAAACCTGCAAAGTATGACGTCTATGTTATCATCTATATTTTGAGAACGAAATTGTTCTTTTGCCAGTTTTCGTCTTTTCGACTTTTTGTCTATTTGATGTAAAACCCGACGTGAAAATTTTTCATTTTTTAAACATTCGTATTCCCCCATTTTTCATTTTTTATAATGAACTAGTTTGGAAAAAATGAATTGCAAAAACGTGATCAACTTTATTAATCAAGTTCAATGAACGTGGATGTACTTTCAGTATGAAGCCCAAAACCTCGCCACTGAACAATGGTAAAATGATAAATAAACACGTCTAAAATGAAACTAGAGTAAGTCGTGGAGTACACTTTTAGCGGTGTTATAAATGGAAAATAGAAATGAGGAACTATTTACTTCAGTAGCGTATTGCTGCAGCCCTCCTATGTTGATAGGTCCTTCTTCGCCGCGTAAAGGTTTACATCCACCCACACAGAGGTCATTGGTCGGACACACCATACCGCACGTGAGGCCCAGCGGGTTGTCCGAAAATATAGCTTTCGCTGCTCCATAATAATTCTTGAAACAAAAAATGAACAAATGAGGTTAAGCGTCAAAGAATTTTTTTAAAATTAATTATAGCTGAGTGACGGAAGTTATTAAGGCACTGAGTAAAACAAAATGTATATAACACTGTACTTTTGGGTCAACGCACTCGGGGTTCAAATCCCTAAAATGCACTTTTGTGGACAAACGCACTTTGGGTAAATATGCTAAATATCAACGAACTTTGGGTTTTCAAATCTGAATGTGTCAACGGAGTTCTGCTTAAAACGAGTACTGCGGTATTTTCTTTTGCCAGTTTTCGTCTTTTCGACCTTTTTTGTATATTTGATGTAAAACCCGACGTGAAAATTTCAGCTATTATATTCGTCTTTTTTTAAAACATTCGTATTTCCCCATTTTCATTTTTATAATGAACTAGTTTTGAAAAGATGATTGCAAACGTGATCAACTTTATTAATCAAGTTCAATGAACGTGGATGTACTTTCAGTATGAAGCCAAACCTGCCTGAACAATGGTAAAATGATAATAAACACGTCTAAAATGAAACTAGAGTAAGTTCGTGGTACCACTTTTAGCGGTGATACAAATGGAAAATAGAAATGAGGAACTATTTACTTCAGTAGCGTATTGCTGGCAGCCCTCCTATGTTGATACGTCCTTCCTCGGACGCGTAAAGGTTACATCCACCCACACAGAGGTCATTGGTCGGACACACCATACCGCACGTGAGGCCCAGCGGGTTGTCCGAAAATATAGCTTTCGCTGCTCCATAATAATTCTTGAAACAAAAAATGAACTAATGAGGTTAAGCGTCAAAGAATTTTTTTTAATTACTTATAGCTGAGTGACGGAAGTTATTAAGGCACTGAGTAAAACAAAATGTATATAACACTGTACTTTTGGGTCAAGGGTACTCAGGGTTCAAATCCCTAAAATGCACTTTTGTGGACAAACGCACTTTGGGTAAATATGCTAAATATCAACGAACTTTGGGTTATCAAATCTGAATGTGTCAACGGAGTTCTACTTAAAACGAGTACTGCGGTATTTTCGTACAAGTTAAGGATAGAAGATACGAGTACTAGTACATCACTTCTTACTTAGTGACAGATAAATACTGATGTATGTGTTCCTTATTTAATCCAAGATATAAATGTTTTCTGAACTTTACCACCTTAGATACCACAAAAATTATGACAATATAAAAACTAAATGTACTGTAAATGTATTCATAACTGTTACAGATGTTTCAAAGAGCCTTCTATTTTGAGTAGATTGGTGACATTATTGAAACCACAAATTTTAAACATAATGGGGATGCATATAATATAATAATAAAATGCAGAAAATATTATCTAACAATTCAATTTTTCTGTTTAACAATTAAGGACTTGTAACAGTAAAAAAAAGTTAAAAGTAAACCATTCAAGAGAACTAAAAATTGCATGAGGGCTAAAATCTGTAAAAAAATCATATTAATTAATCAAGAATTTACAAGAAAAAAAGTCACATCTACACGGAATGACCAGATTGACCATGGTCACTCTATCAGTCAGTAAATGCCTTAAAGTAAATGTATTTTAGTTGACATCTCGTAGAAGGCTACTGATTTAAAATCTTAAAGATTTTAATTTTTCTTACGTTTGTCAGGTATCAATCGAGTTATTTCGTGTATCTGTTTTATGTACCATCAAAAACGCTGCCATTATAAAATGACCGTTCTATCAGACAAGAGCTGAATTTCGTATTTTCCGAAAATTCCCTTATATCAGTCTAAAAATAATTCCTGCCAATGAGAGATGTAAATTCCATCTAAATATGAACTTATATTCTTGGTCAGTGTAATGAATTCTTTAATTTGGCATCCATCTCGGGGGGCCATCTTAAAAGTTTTATTTACAGGATAACACCCTACAACATATTAATATAGAAATGTTATCTCCCTTTGGTATAACTAGATATAGTCATCAGATACTATGGTATAAGGATGATTGAATCATTTAATGTGTATGTGTCATACAATCGCTACAATTATCGGCGCACAACGCTAGTTTAACAGCAAATACTATTTTAATATTGTTATGTATTATTACACTCTAGAACACAGCAACATATAAATTATATCTTACTTAAAGGACATAAAAATATAATTTGCCACAAATTGCAAAATATATAACATAAACTATCGTCTTCTTCTTCGTTTTTTCAATTTCTTACTTCCTTCCTTATATTTAAGTTTACCTATGGACATTAACTACAAATATTATACTATCACTAAAATTCATTTTATGATTTAATTTTATGACCCGTAAAATTTGAGGTCGTTTTCTTAGGCTTAAGGGACTCCACTGGAGTTTTTTGACATGATGGACTGAAAATATTTTTTCCAGAATAAATGTGCCATTGATGTTGGTTAGACCACCTAACCTTTGTGCCAAAAAAATTTCCAAGAATCAATTCGCGCCAAATTGGTTTCCCAAAACAATTATTCAAATTGCTAAAAAAATGACCCAAAATGAAAGCGGTTTAAAACGCTTTTCAAACTTCAAATCGGGATAAGAAAAGCGTTAAACATACGCTTTTCAATTTATTTCAAGTAAAGTTCTCACGATCTTGCATATATTTCTGTTAATGTGCCCAGCTTATTTATGTAAGAAATTCAAATGATATGTTTTTAAGACTCTTAAGCCTCAGTGGAGTCCCTTTAAAATTTAACATGTATTGGAGAAAATATGACGTATCTACATTATATATATCAGTACGATTGGGTTGTTATAACGTATATCCATATACCTTGTTTGAGATACTGGTGATGAACGATTTAATATCAAGTTGAGTCGGGCAACTTTTTTGACATGGCGCATCTGCACATTTCAGACATCTGCAATTAAAAAAAACAACTTAATTTTAAATGTGATTTAAATGCATTTTTTACCAAGTTTACATTTATTTCAACATTTTATAAATCTTATTCTGGCTGTTCTTAAGCACGACAAACAAACCTTTAGATTTTTTAGAAAGCATGCACATAATATCCAAATTGCATCGCGCTTTATAAATTTTGGCACAAATACATGAAGTACACCATATAATATAATTGGACACCAGTTAACTTATGTCGATATAATTTGAAATAAATGGAGGCTATATTTTAGATTTGCACATACCTTGCAGCCTCACGGAGAGCAGCCCTTTCAAATAAGGTTGTGTGTTTAATATCTTCAAAGTTGTTCTGCAGCGGGGGACACGACTGTTAAAGCAATATCAAACTGGTATAGAATAACGTACTTTCGATGCTACTTAAACTAAAGGCACTTGCACACGTCTAATCTAAATACCGGACAGGCTAATAAATCGTGTTACTCGGGTTAAATGTTTGCATTAAATAAGATAAGAAACAAGGTTCAATGTAGGTTAAGATTATATCAATCATGTAGTGTGTTTCCGGCCAATAGTAAAGATAACCTAATTTAAGTGAGTATGGTAGCTGACTTGTGCCATTTCGTATTTTGCTCCGCGGGTCGCCAGGCTAAAACACGAAAATACGACAAAGTAACGACTGGTCGTATTTTCGTGATTTCGCCTGGCGCCCAGCAGATAGAAAATACGAAATGGCACAAATCAGCAAGCATAGTAAAGTGTTTACTAACGGATAAAAATGTGGGCATGTATAAAGTTTATAAATTCAAAAAGCCTTTGTAATGTTTGTAATGCATAAGTTGTTGTGCATTTGGGATTACACTTGTACATTTGATCAGTGCTGTCATAGTTATAGCCCTTGACTTGATTCTCCCGGGAATTTTGTGTAAAATGTAGGAGCATATGTGTCCTATGGTTTTGATAAAATAAATTTCCATGCTAAAGATAATTGTTCGGCTTTTTTAAGTATTTAATTTCATGATTTTATAATTATTTTATAACTCGTAAATGATGATTCAAATCAATAATTATAAATATCCAAAAAAAGTTACGCCGTGACTTAGATATAAGCAAAACCAAAACTTTTTAATCACGAAAAAATGATTTTTGAACATTTTCATAAATTATTTTCTTCACGCTTCAAACCAGAAGTATAATGTTACAGTGGTGCGCATGAGAGAAGATAGTATGAATGGCCTTCTGTTCACTCCACATTTAAAACTTGCTCCACATTTATAACTTGAACGTTATGTTATGCCTAAAACCATTGTTATCATTTCAAAAAGACGATTGAACGCGTTGCAAACTGTTTGACATATTTTAACATGCATTCTACTTTTGCTTTTGCATGCTTGCAGCATATGTGCCATTAAAGTTCTAGCAAGATGTTATTTTTTTCTTGATGAATGATACAATGATAAGGGGTAGTGGTGGCCGAATGGCTAAGATGTTTGCCTCGCAATCCAATAATTGTGGGTTCGAGCTCAACTCGGGTCGCGATAATGTTTCCTCATTTGACACCAGTACTGGTTAGTTCCAGGAAGCGGACTTTAAATTGATTAATATAACTTAAAAGAACGTGTTTCGCAATCGAGCATAAATTAATATGTTTAAACTAATAGCTTGTAGATTTATTAAGGGCCCTAAAATCATTTTGATCAAGCAGCAAGAAAAAAACAAACAAAATTTTAGTGCAAAACAAATATATATCCTTTTTTACAGGGATATTGCAGTACAGTACTCACGAAATATGTTTTGCGCTTATTTGATGAAATATTTTTTCATTATACCAGGGTCTTTCAAATAGAATTTGAAAGACCCTGATTATACACTTAAAAAAGTAGGTGAAATATTTGTTTACACTTTTGAAAATTCTATGAAATATTTGTTTATTATACACTTGTGATGATGATAATGAAGAGGGTGCAATATTCGACCGAATATGTCACACGTGTGACAAATTCGAAGTGAATATGTCATACGTGTGCCATATCGGTCCTTGACATATACGGTCCGAGAGAGCTATATGTTTTCACGGCCGCACGTTGATACTAAGTATCACAGGGTGAGAAAAATGGGTAGCCTGGCCAAGAGTCGAACCGATGACCCTCGGAATACCTATCCGTAGCTGCCAAATGAGCTATCCAACCGGTAAAATCTTCATATAGTTCAGAACCGTGACACGAGCACATGGAGAATAACTACAGATATAAGAATAAGTATAATTACACGTAGATACGAGTATGTTAGACTGAAAGAAAATCGATAGCTGAACTGATTATCCGCCATAGATTTGACATATCTCCAACTGTTTTACTCTGTTTATAGAAACATATCATCTACAATTACAGTCCAATGAACAAGCTCTATTGTGTTTAAACTTTGCCACAACTGTATATATGAAATTTATACGTTACATTAATGGACTCCGCCTATTTACATAATGCACATGATTTTAGAATCATTCAAAATTAATTTCTTAAAACTCTGTATATAACGTATAACCTATACCTACGTATATAGGCTATAAACAACTTTTTTAAATGCGAATGACAAAAGATCGTGTTCGGGTATACAACTGCAAACTAATGGTAGATACAAAATAGACTTTATTTGAAAAATTTGTTTTTAAAAACATCATGAATACTGGAAGTCTTTATCTTTAAAAAAAAATACAAAACCATTTAAAGAGTGACACTCACCCTATCTAAAGACAATAAAGGTTAATGAACTTGCGTGCAATATTATAAATCTCAATTTCACGGTCCTGTCCGTCAAACTTCGGATAAGGACCTCTAACTCAGATCATGTCGACCCGCAACTTTTGTTGTATTTTTGAGTTCGACCGAGAATGTGTGATTTTCACAATATGTCTGCCAAAGGGAATAGAGATCAGGTTCAAGAGTTCGAGCGGTCCGAGTTGGAACAATATTTATTATATGGGAACTCTGCCGGGACTGGGTGATCAGTTCGAGCAAAGGATGGTATTTGAGCGATCCGAGTTCGAGCGAATGAAGTTAAACTGTATCTATAAATGTATTGCTTTCACATTACTTATAAAAGGTTGTATGTATTGCATATTGGTTATGTTTTAGTATAATTCATACGAATATATCATAATGTTTTTACCTGTAAAGACAAATACGTGTACCTGTGTAAATACAAATGTTTCTGACTGCAATAAAACTTGACCCGGCTCTAGCAATGAAAGCAATCAGGTCCGTAACTGATGTTAGCCAATTTATCTTCAACTGAGTCTGTGCTTCTGATAAACATGACAAGATAAACATGTTGTCTATACCAATTCCTGAAATAATATGATTAGTTAAAAATAAATTCAAAAATATATAAAAATCAGCTGTTCGCTTTCATTTAGTTAAGATACTACTGTAAAACCTCAGTAAATGTAACTGTGAATACACTTTGAACCCTACTGATTAAATGAATACATTTCTGCCATTAATTTACATAAAAGGGACTAAATCAACTTGATCAGTAACAGGGAATACAGCCTTAAAAATAGGTTATGTATTCCTTCATTAACAAATACATAAATTCAGGAGAAATTTCCTTAATTTCAATGAATTTTGCAATACAAGTATCGTGCACTTCGATGATAGTTTATCTTCAATTAACAAAACAAAGATTAGAAAGGCACCAACAATGCTGACAAAATTAACGCCAAGTTCACATAGTCCAAAACTAGAAACAATTGCTAATCCCGCAGACAAACTTCCACCACAACCAAGCCATATGCGTTGTCAAACTTGCTCAATAAATATTCATGACTGTGATTAAGATAAATTAAAATGTTCATACACTATAAGTAACAGATCATGTGACAAGAGTGAAAAGTTCATCAATACTGTACAAATGTTATGTAATTCCTTATAACAATGCACAAACATTCTTGGTACAAATGTGAGCCTATTTAACTAAACCGTTATGTCGGCCCAACCTAGAATTCATCCTTGGTTTGGACAATTTACAAACTTTTTAAACACTTAAGTTATGTAATTCTCTTTTTTATATATATAATGTTGCATGTAAGTATTTCAAATTTGAATTTTCGTAATAATATCAGCTGTCATTAAAATATTTTTAAAGGAATCAAGTGTATCAATTACATCCATTGACATTCACGAATTCTTTAGCATACAAATTTAACTCAAAACTCTCGTTATTTTTTAAATGTTTTATCGGTAGAAACTCTACCGTTTGTAATAGACAAGTAATATTTCAATACATCAAGTAATGTTTCTACTATGTGACGCCAGAAAGTAACAATGATATCTGTAATATTACATATTATGTAACAATAAAGACAGAAATATAACTTAGAAAGATTAAGGAATTCACATTAACAAACAACCTTCTTTGATTATATCAGAGATAGATATGGAGAAAATGTATGGATATTTTTCTGTGTCTTTAAGAACATTAATATGGTGACTGTTGTAGTTATTCAAAATTCAGTCCAAAAAAATCAAAAATACGTAAACTGAAGAAACCCCGTCCCTCTCGCAGAACAATAGCACTACCATCCTAATAAAATTTATAGGAAGGACAAATTGTCCTTCTCTTAGAACACGCATAATGACAAACTACAAAAGAGAATAGCTGTCACAACTTACACTATATTAATAGTTAGATCATATAAATTAATAAATTCATATTTTTACATCACTATATATATTATTTCAAAAGCGATTCATGTTAACTAAGTACATGTAGATTTATTAGATGTTTTTATGATGTAATAATATTTATATTGTTATCTCATTAATCACTTCAAATATTATCAGTCTGACCATTTAATAATTTTGACATCTGTATCTGCTTATGGTTCATCACAAAATATATGATATATATTATAAACAAACGTAAAGAGACTGGTATGACTTGTAAATCTCATGGGAGGGATTCTGTCCTATCTGAGAGCTCCTGTCAACTTTGTCATTTTCGGTGGGTAGGCTTTTGTCCGGTAGGGAGACAAGAATATAGACACTCTTATAACATTAACGTGTAAGGCATTAAAAGGAATGTGAGATCTTTATTGACCACCAAGCTTTCGAAAATGCAGAAAATGCACGAGTGGGAACTCGAGGTCTTCCATTGGCAGTAAAGCTTAAAAGTCTTCATATATCCATTAAAATAAATAAACTAACAAAAGCATATTTTGTTCCATTTTCATCAGAGCTAATTTGTAAAGACTGTTTAAGCATCTTAACGGAAACTGAGGGTCAGGTCCTTATACACACGGAGTAATTCGAATCTTCCATTGTATTGATCTATACCATTATTATTTGAATTACTTGAACTAAATAGATTTTGCGGCTCTTTTAAAACACAAGTCAAAAGTCTCCCTGAAGTACACAATGCTGACTTGTATACTCTATTTGTGCGTTTTAGCGGACATTGACGGTCAGGTCCTTCGCAAAAAAAAAACCGGAGAGATTTGAACTTCTTGTTGCATTGCTGAATTTTGTTTTGAATGTAAAGCTAACGCAAATTGAAGAATATCGATTTTGCCCAAAGTTCATTTTGAACAAAAAGTCAATTTCTCCCTTAAGTACACAGAGCTGACTTGTATACTCTATTTGTGCGTCTTAGCTGACATTGAGGGTCAGGTCCTTCGCAACAAACGGGGATATTTGAACCAAAATTTTGTTGTTGTTGTTGTGGTTATTGTTGTTGTTGTTATGCTTGATTTAATATTTGTTCTATACGTGAAGTGAACGCGACTTGAATCGAATCGAATTTGCATTAACTTAATTTTAAATCTAAAGACAAAGTCTCCCATTACACAGAGCTGACTTATATACACTATCTGTGCGTCTAAGCGTACACTGAAGGTCAAGTCTTCTCAACAAACAGAGATAACTGAACTTTTCGTTATCATGCCAAACGTTGGGTTTTGTATGTGAATTGAACACTATTTGCACCAAGTAATTTTTACAACCCGTTCGTTGAGAAAAAAGTATTCTTCTGTATTCAGAGCTGACTTGCTTACTCTAATTGTGCGTTTTAGCGAAAATGGAGGGTCATTTAATCCATTTGATTAAAACCATCAGTAAAGTTACAGAATCAATTTATACAATTTTGTAAGGTGGATTATTATATTATGAAGGAACTTCCACATCGATTGTCATAAAAAAACCTAAATCTATCAATAATTCGATTTATATTAGGAACGCATATAAATGTTGATGTATATTAATTCAAACAGTTTTTGTTTGAGGCATTCATAAATTATCCATTTGATTTAAACCATAAGTAAAGTTACAGAATCAATTTATACAATTTTCTTAGGTGGATAATTATATTAAGAAGGAACTTCCACATCGATTTTCCTAAAAAAAAAACAAGTCTGTCAATAGCTCGATTTATATTAGGAACGCATATAAATGTTGATGTATATTTGCACTGTGCACTTCTCAGATAACGTTCCGCTCTCATGATAACATATCTCTCAACTTCTCACGAGATGTAAGCATAGACAAATTTATAACTCTACTTGTATTCGAAACAGACGTTATCTTTAGCTTTTAATGTTTCTGCTATCTTTAAACTGGCTGCCACTTTATTATTTATGGTCAATTTTCAGATGCAACTATTTTAGTTCTTAAGTCAGATTTACTTTAACTCTACACGAATAACCAATGGAACGTCAATCATTTTTTTATTTAATTTTTTTTATCTTTTTTTTTTAGAAAAAAGGGCTTTGATTTATAGAGAGGCTAGTGTGTATGAACAAAATATAAGTAAGACGGATAGTAAAAAATTTAAAATATCGGGTTAAAATACATGATATGTAGGTTAAGAAGTGGTTCAAAAACTATAATCATGAAATTATTTTAAAGCATAAACAGTTCCCTTCATCATCACAATGCGGTCATTTCGTAAAACATCTCGCTATTGTTGTCACAAAAATCAAATTTCAATGTATATGATCAAGTTAAAATGATAAGTTAATAAGTTTTATTTATACCTCATATGTTAACAACACATTTCGTTATACTTTTACTACAATGAACACAAAGCTAACAACACAAAATATTTGGTTGTAGGCAGTCTCCGAGAAATCGTTTTAATTTTTGAAAACAAAACAAAAACAACATGAATGTAGAGGGAAACTTGCCAATTTGTAACGTCAATGTACATGTAACTTTATGTATTTTTCCTCCGACTGAAGCAATGAAATAAATGTTTTAAAGCTAAATTTATTTCTCCTCTCAGCGAAAAGGCAGGCAAATATTTGACAATGAGCAGGTTTGTGGGCTCGAAAATCCCTTTAGCAATAACGTAGATACCTTACATGAATGCTCTAATCGACGTATTACACTCGGGACAATATTGAAGACGCTCCAAACATGAATGACATAGATAATGTTTGTAAGGTCGGCAACTCACCAAACGTACAATATCACGTTCCTGCTGGCAACCATCACACAATCAAAACTTTCCGTTAACAATTGTCTGCACTAGCGAGAAAGAAGATATGAGAGAAAAATAAGTAAGTGAAATATTCTTTACAGATCGTCTTTAATTGATCATATTTAAACAAAATATTAGATATTACACATTAATTGATCATATTTAACGATGCCATATATTACGAATCGAGCCATATTAAGTTACCACGAGTAACTTTGCAACATGAATTTACCTTACATATAGTTTTCATGTATTAATTACTTTTATAAATTGATTATTTTGCAAAATGTCACTGTTACGTTGTAATTATGCTTACTTGATATAAAAAAGATCGTGGCAAAACTCTAAACTGATATAGTTTTATAAGTTTTAGTCAATATGCGTACCTTCACGTCGAGTTTTAACCAACATAATTCCAATGAGAAGTATAGAAACAGACAATCCAGCAAAAGCTAGCGGAATGTAAGTCCTTGTCAGTTTGCAGGGCACATCAGTCGCTGAAACGACTGAAAATAAAATGTATTTAATTGTTTACTTTTAAACAAGGAACTTATTAACGACGTAATTTCATCAGTGAAATTAAAATTCAGATAAAATATATCAAAAGTATCGATTTCAAAAAGAGTCATTTAAGCAGTTAAACTATAAATTTAAGTAAATGGTTTTAGACAAACATTATGTTCAACATTTTGTAGTTAAAATGAGTATGCGTTCAGAATAATTTTTATGAATTTCAAGGAAAAATTAGTTTCTCTTTTCAAAATAAACTACGTAATTCGTTAATCATAAAATGTTAAAAAAAACTCAATAGCAAATTTTCGATACAATTTTGCACTTCTGTTGTGTATTAATTCAAATAGGTAAAAGTATACAATGTTGCATAAAATATTTTAAAGTGACATTAGTGAGAGACAGGTGAAAGTCAAAATAAGTTAACATTTTTACCATAATCCCATTTAATTTTATTTTTATTTTACATTAACGATAAGTAACTGTAAACAAGGATATTTCTATAAATATCCGCCGGCAATTACCTGTAATATTCGGTTTATAAAAGAATAGGCAGTCTTTTTATATATTCAGTGAGATTTACATTTAATTCATTACAATTGTTGATCATTAAGTCTTTAAACAGTCATTTTTTAAATAAATAGTAAATTCAGCATAACTTGATAAGGAAAAAATAAGATCAAAATAGATCAAACGGAATCCCTAAAGACAAAATTGAAAATGTTGTAAGCTCGGTTTGATTGAACAAGTTCATAAAAGTCCTCGCCCCCTAATTCCGTCTTAAGCAGAATTCAAAATTTAAACATAAAAAATGGTGAAAATTTAAATTAAGAAATATAATTCAATATAAATGTCAATTAGATATAAATGTACAATTTGGATAATTATCATGAATAAACTAAAAACTTTCTTTATATCACATTTTTTTTTAAAATCTTTATTAACCAGTCGATTTAGGATTATTGAAAGGAATACAAAACAATCATACCATGCAATGAAGTCTCAATGTTAACTTCCAGGTTTATATAGCTCGAAGTGTTTTTAACTAGGGATATATGATTGTGTATCCATATTTCAAACATCTGGGCACCATCGTTAAGGTCAGTCTTTCCTCGAGTTATGATCTTTAAATATATAATTAGCGATGTACATACTGTGTGTTTACATACATTAAGATAAATACTTTACGTTACAATTTAAAGTACATATCTAAGTAAAATCAATATCTGGTCACAAAATATATTATATAGTTTTAGAAAAATTGTCCAAGTTTAAAGCAACGCCGTAGTGACCCAGAAGTCAGAATGTAAGATCTTCTTAAAATGGAGTTTCGAAAGGTATTAATCATAGATGGTCAAAATATCACATTTTGCTTATTTGCCCATTCATACACATAAAAATATCACAGTTAAATTACATAAGTTGTTTTCAATGTTTACAAGTCGTCTGCTACAACGGATATATTTCTATTCTATTTCATTCATTGATTTTTTCATGTGTACTGTAATGAGTATAATTTGTCTTGTAAAGTGTCTGTTCTTATTTTTTCATAGAGTTCTGAAGCTGTTAGAGGGTCATATAGGTCATATAACCCTGACAACAAGAGTCTTTCTTGCGAATGTGTGACAATAAGAAAAGCTTCTAAAACATTAAGTGTTCACTACAGCACCTCACAAGACAAAACTAATGGAAAAGTTAGTGAAGATGTTGAGAAGTCTGAGAGGCTCTACTAGCAAACCATGTACAATGGAGGAAATTTGTTATGGCAAAACCCGAAAGGAAACCATGAATTTGGTCACTGATTGTGCTATTCCAGCATAACTGATGATGAAAAGAAAATCACTTGTAAGAAATTCAATCCTGATACAACAAAGGGCTTTTCATTTCATTGAAAAGGGGGGGACATTGTCCAAGTGCAAAATAGGGAAACTCAGATGTGGTACAGTTTTTTGTTCCCATTTTAAAGATTCCACCACAAAAATCATTAAATGAAAACATGAAAATATTAATGTAAATATGTTAAAACTGCTAACATATTACATGTTTAAAACAGTTCAGTACAACATTATATTTGACATAACACTTTTTATTTGTGCACAATAGTGTGACCGGAAATATTTTTGGTGTTTTTATTAAATGAAACTAGGTCAAATCTTTGAAGGTTATTAATATTTATTTTACTTGCATTTATTTCAAGTTTATTTGTTACAAAATAATATAAATATAATTCCAAAAAATGACTTATTCCAGGTTACATTTCTAAATCATTTCTAAAAATTGAATTTCATGACCGAAATTTGATTGCACCGCGATGCATACTGCAATTGGTTTACGCGACACCTTGTACTTTTTAGAATTGTGTACGTGTAGCCATTTAATTTTAGGCAATAAAGTACTTCAAATTCATTCAATATTTATTCAATTATATTTAATAATTTGTAATGTTTTATCTTTATATTTAAACAAATAAATCAAAGTAAAAACTGACCTTTTTTGAATAAAATATCCAGTTAAAGTCGGGTCTAAAGGAAGAAAAACAAAGTGTTGTAGGAACAAATGTTGTCATCCATAATATTCTTAAATAAAAAATTAGATTATTACTCTTGTAAAATCTTAGCGTCATTGTCATATCGAAGTAGCACACTATCTAACACTCATAATTTATCATACTTGCGTACATCTACTTATATAGGCTAACATTCACCTTTTCTTGTATTTCCCGAGGTAAAATTCGCTAAGGCCATTCAAACAACACTGTTTGTTTCTTTGTGCTCGACCGACTCATGAAAAAAATTGCCCCGACTCAAAAAACTGTTTACACCTTCGAGGATTTTTTTGAACCATTATGCTTTTATTCTGTTAAAAAGAACTTTCTCCAATAACTTTTCAGACAAGTTTTGAACTGAGAAGTAGAAGAAATAAAGAATGTTATCCCAAAAACAAAATAAACACGCTTTTCATCGATATTAAGCCAAAATTTGACCCCGAACATCGGCGATTTCACATTCGCCAGAAATCCTCAAATTTCGCAAAGGGCATAACAATTCTCAGTTTCCAAGCCAACATGTGAATGAAGTGTTCTTTTGCTATTTAGTCAACATTAAATCTGATAAAAGTCAATGTCATTTTGAAGATATTTGCTAAAATAATTGCCGATCAGATGACATCTTACACACTGTGTGAAGCTGTACTCGATTTTCTTAAATGCTGCCTATATATACGGACAATATATGGAAAGCTGAAGGTATTTTTACAAAAATAAAGTTTTGTTCTTTAAACTTTAGAGTGGACATACTTAACCAGAATAAAATTCGATTCTTTTTTGGTATAAAAGTGAAAAAAAAAAAACGATTGCAACCTTGCTTCAAAGATAATATACATACATCAATGAATATAGAAATGGACTACCCTCCGTAACCATAGGCCACCACTGTATACATATATTTTAACAGAAAATAATACCAGAAAACTTTATTATTGACATAAATGAATTTAAATCATTCTTCCATTCATGATTGTCAGAACATGAGGTTGCACTAAAACTTGTTGAAAAATACAAGTTAAGTGATAAATTTTCGCGGGAAAGTCGCTAGAAAATTAAAGTTTTTTTCCCTGATACTTTTAAATAAGTTCTACCTACAGGTGTTTTCTTCATAATGATAATTATTTTTAAAAAAATACCTTTTCCTAAATTGTAATTAAAAAGCCATATTTTTAAAATCTTTGTTGCAAACAATTTTGCAAATCATGCACTGTTTATTTTTTTCTTTTTTTTTTTTTCATTCGTTGTAATTGTCCGTTTATCTGACAGATACTATATTCCCATTCAACACACAAATGGGTTTATTTAATTGTTGCCCAATGCTATTTTAATCCCACTTTCAATGACTTGTTGACGATTGTGAGCAATTACACACTATACTTGTACACAGCAGGTGACGTAGATTTTTCTACATAATACACTGCCAAATATGGCAAGTACACACGACTGTGTGACAGGTGTAATGTACATAATGATCTATTATTATGCTGGCTAGTGAATGGTGTTAATTAAGTAGGTTAATACAGTATGGTTTGGTAAGTGACTTTCAAGTGTACACCCCTAAAATTTAACATTTTTTTTTTAAAAATCAAAGCTAAAAAATTCTGCTGTTAGTCATTTAATTTCAAATATTTATATTCTAACCAGATTAAAATTATTTGCATGATAAATCCTTTTATTCAATAGTAATGAGAAATGGATTTACTACACCCCTCCCTTCTTTGTGCATTTAGAATTTGACAAGTCAGGACCAGTAAAGGAAATCTGAGGTAGTCATCAAAGCAGGTGGTAATCATTGATTTTGCAAACAAAACATCTATACATGTAGCATAAATTGCATTTTTAAATAACTCTGAAATACAAGTATTGAGACTAATTCCGTTTTATTTTCTCAAAGAGCTACATCTATCAAGTAATCATATTGTATGTATTTTTCTCAGACCACTTCTTTTAATTAATTTTTACAGGTATTGTCACCTTTTTCCAGACATTGCCAATTCCAGTAAATAAGGAACAATTATTTTGTTTAAAGTTGAAATGAATATAAAATAAACAACAAAAGTGTTACATTGAATGTCTGTTATTACTTGAAATATTAAACAAAGAAAATATCAACAGAAAAACATTTGCCTACATAATTTTATTTGTGTAAATACATGTTCAGTATATCATGGCAGACTATATACTCACAGTGTATTGCTATACTCATTATGCTCAAATTTTGTATCAATTGCAATTTAAAAAAAATCCCCTACCTACCTACCCACCTCTTGAACTTAGGGTCGGAGCCCTACAAACAAACAATGCTGTAAGGTTGGCCTAAGTATATGAAATTGGAAATTCCCTATAAAATACCGTTGTATGATAATTTAGGCCAGGTTTTGGTTTGGACGCGTCTACACCTTGTCAAGTTACTTACATGTTACATTTAGATAAGCTTAATAAATGGCGTTTACAAAATATTATCTGGCACAATTTTTACTGAAATGTCTTATGCCCAGGATTTATATTTTGTTTCTATAAAATAAAAAAGCGGGGAAAATGATGCAATTAGCTAAAAAAACAATGGAGTAAGTGAAATGTGTAAAAAAGAGTGTAAAATAGAAAATGTGAAAAACATATTTTGAGACTATAAATTGAAGTAAATACTTTATTTGATGAAAGTTATTTGCTAAATGTACAAGATCATTTAAAACCTATTGATTATACTTTATACTTTTGATAAACAGATTTTGTTTGCTCTTTTGTGTATCAGTGTATCGATTTGTTCCTTTGACCAAGACATTGTAATCATTACTGAAATTTACAGGTCATGTACACTGAATCAACAACAAAAAAGTTTAAAAAGTCACACAACAATATCACACATTCGGTGTCAAATCGGTGTTATCAGTGTCTTGACAGCCAAAAAGTTGTAGAAAAATAGAACGTGTTCTAATTTTCTTATTATCTTCATGGATGTCACATGATTTCTCGTTAAAAACCATTCAAGTAGGGTGTCTACATTATCCAATACAAGAGAATATGATACTTGCATTTAAGACGTGGATATGTGTAGACCGGGCCTTAGTAGCTAGATAAGAACAAATACGAGTAAACCTTTTAACCACGTCACGTAGCAGTTCAATGAGACACTTGCCATTTGTTACAAGCGTAACACGAAGTATCTCAAAAAATGTTGTCTTGTACTTTTTCTATTTCACTCCTTTATTAAAGCATTTGTTTGTTGTGTACGCTACCATTATTTAAATCTAAATCAATATTTGAGGTTATTCATATCACTTTGTATTAAGATTTAAATAACCGTAGCATACAAAACAAACATATAATATCTGTACACGCATACCGTTTTGCAGTGAAGTATCATTTAATGTTATAATAAAGGAGTTAAATAGAAAAAGTACAAGACAACATTTTTGACATACTGGAATGAAAAGGCGCATCAACGATAACAATGAGTATCTCATCTCTACATTAAACATAATTATCGCATGGTGCGGCGATTTGTTTTTAATGTTCCTCGGCTGTTATTGGTAATAACCCACAGTGCGATATCTCAGATAAAGCATACTTCTTTGAAAAAAGTGTGCGTTATTTCAAATAAAACACAGTTATCTAAGTACACTTGGTTCATGTATAAGCGTGACCGTAGACAAATACATAAGAGTCACTGGACGGTACTAAACTTTAGGCTGAAAAAAAACAACGAATATTTTCAGATTGGGTAAAGATAATGGGGTACTGGGGGATATGGCTGTCAGTTAAGAAAATGTTTTGTCTAGGCTTGAACGTACTTCTTCAAAAACCTTGTAATCCTTTTTCCTGAATGTAATTTGGTGGAAGGAGGCACTGTCTGTATAAACAATTTCATGAGTAGATATACTCGCAATATTTTCAATGTCAAGTCCTAATAAATAATCGTTATATCATAATACCTTAAACCTGTCAATCTGAAAAAAAACATTCAACTTTTTCTAGATTTTTTTTAAACATGTAATGACTGAAGAGAGAATAGTGTGACTTAGATCAGCTGGATGGTATATACTGATGGTGGTCTGCAATTGTACATCGCGGGTAGATTCAGTCACCGCCAACAGCCTTTTGATACAGGACATAAATTATGCTATAAATGAAGCATGGCTCTTTGATTTAGGATCAAGTTATGATTACATACAAAACAAATAGTATCTGTACACGCATAAAGTATCATTTAATTGTTCTACATTAATTACTCGTGTAAAGGGGTTTTCTGAATGAAATAATAAAATATACATATACTGGAATAAAATGCAATATCAAACACGATGCATCAAAGGAAACATTTTTTAAGGCCGATTATGCCGAAGAAATGCTGTTATCTTTATTTGTCAAAATAGATTTTAATTTTTGGTATCCTGTTATTATTTCGAAAAGGTTACTCATTGGCCATATACCTGAACCAACATTTGCTTCTGTTGCTTTTTGGCATAAGCAGAGTCATAGTGGTTTGGTATTTTGACTGTATGGAATCCAAATTACTTGTTTGTTTACATTTTGGTACTTTCATAACAGCTCTCTTTACTTTAGATAATAAGCATCTAAAATGCTCTAAAACATTATTTACACACTATGAAACTCGTGCTTGCCCTTTCTAATTCATTTTATGACATAATGTGTGTTATCTTTGAACATTTTATGTATGTGATAATTTGAATAGATATACTATATTTTTCTAGGTCCGTCACAACATTTATTGAACCATTTGTATTTAAATAGTATTTTGCTCGTCACTATGATTGTAATCATTTCGTTCAATAAATCCAGAACAAAAATAAAACTTTGCAGTACATTGTATCATTGGCAGTCATGAAGTGTTTAAACAGCATGGAACTTTATCCTGTAACTTTAAAATTAACAAAAGCAATTGAAGTAAGTTATTTTCTACGGTTTACGATTATTTAGGTTGTGCCGATAGTTATCCATTATTACATGACCCTCATATATAATTGCTATTCTAATCTAAATAAAGGAACATGTAATTCATTGCCTATAAATATAGAAATAAATCATTTATAGTGTAAAATACTAAACAACAAGATCATTCTATAAATCTTATTATAAA